TAGTCTCAATAACTAAAAAAATTATTTTAGATATAGATTCAGGTCATCAAGATACTAATGTTTCGCCAAATAATACTTTGTCAAATATTCGTCTAATATTAAAAAAAGAATTCTCATATTTTGAACTTGAAGTTGGTTAGGGTTATGTTTTTGATTTAAAAAATCAAAATTTTCTTATCAATTTTAAGATGATATAAAAATGGCGCGTTTCATACACTCATTTTTATACAACTTTTTAAAAATATATATATTTGTTTTAATATCGCATAAAGTCAACCAAGTTTGAGAAATTTGAATTTTTTCTCGACATTTATACACTAAATATAAACTGTGAAGAGTATAATATAGAATGCCAAGCATTATATATTTTCATTCAAATGTTTTTGCTAATAACTTATTTTGGAAGGTTTTGATTTTATATAAAAACTGCCTTGATGCCACAAACATCTCATGTACGGTGTCTGTGTGTCTGTATCCACAATACCTCAAAAATGTATGCAGAGAAAACCAATAAATTTTAAATTTAAGCTTTAATCCATCTGTTAAAAATGGACTAGCAAATAGTTTTGATTTTCTAATTGTTTTGATATTGTTGTTATTTTTTCTTCTATCACCATGTATATAAAAAAAACTGTTGAAGGAAATGTCAATAATAAAATAGAGAAAACCTATAGAAAGTCTCAAGCCAGGTTTAAGGTATTTTCTCTGGTATTTCCAACCTGGCTCCAGGTAGGAGCGCGTTCCTTTCACCATCCTCTAATGAGTTGATTAGATTTTGGGCATATTCGGAGCATCTGGGGATACTTTATAGAGAGTCGTTTTTATACTTTAGGGAATTTATCTGTTATTTATGATTTAAAGAAGAAAAGTTTGTTTTTTCGCATTACTACGAATAGAAGCGCCAAAATCATCACCCAAGAGACGGTGTTGACACTCATAATATAATAATAATAATAATAATAATAATAATAATAATAATAATAATAATAATAATAATAATAATAATAATAATAATAATAATAATAATAATAATAATAATAATAATAATTAATAATAATTAATAATAATAATAATAATAATAATAATAATAATAATAATAATAATAATAATAATAATAATAATAATAATAATAATAATAATAATAATAATAATAATAATAATAATAATAATAATAATAATAATAATAATAATAATAATAATAATAATAATAATAATAATAATAATAATAATAATAATAATAATAATAATAATAATAATAATAATAATAATAATAATAATAATAATAATAATAATAATAATAATAATAATAATAATAATAATAATAATAATAATAATAATAATTTTTTTTTTTTTTTTTTTTTTATTATAGAGGTAAAGGAAAATCCTGCATTGGACGAACTGACCACTCAGCGAGTAACTCAGAACAGTGTCGGACTCCTACCGACTAAAAAACCTAAAAACCTCTTATAAAACGTCCAAAGCTGCCCCGGAACTACTTTGACGTATTACTTCGGGACAGTTTCTTGCGTTGCCCTTAGGGCCTCCTGTCTTTAAACACTCTTTTTGTGTCCTTTTCACGTGTATGTAAGTGTAACTTCTGCACTTTACTCGCGCACTGTGGGTCCTTTCCCGGTCTGTCTGACACAAAACATAACTATTTTGGCACTTCGCTCGCGCACTTAGCCCCTTGAGGCATCTAATCTTTCGATGAGGGAGGGAGAGATGAGAGGGATGGATCAAATTCCAATTCCCTCCCATCCCCTATCCCTCTCCTTCGCCTTGAGTACTGCTGTGACATAGGCGTACACAGCGTCCCAATTGTCCTTTGACGACAGCATCTTCTCCATTATAGTTTCTGGCTCCAAGTCACCGATCTCCTCCACCAGGCTGCTTCGCATCCTTTGCCAACGCAGGCACACGAAGAAGGTATGGTGGGCATCATCGTCTTCAATGTGGCAGTAGAGACACTCCGCCTGTGTGGTCTTTCCCATCCTCTTTAGATATGCACGGAAGTATCCATGGCCCGTAAGGAATTGAGTGAGATAATAACTAGTCTCCCCATGCTTCCTATCGAACCAATTCTGCACTCTGTAGATGAGCCGAGCAGTCCATCGTCCACGGCTCTCCGCCCTCCATCTGTTCTGCCATGTCTGTATAGTCTCTCGACGTTCCTCGCTTTTCACCGTTTCCGGTGCATTTTCCTCTTTACGTTGGTAAATTCGCCTTCGCTCTTCCGCCAAGAGGTCTATCGGAATCACTCCAGCTATGACTTGCACAGCAACTGCCGAGACAGTCCTATATGCACTGCATATGCGCAACGCTCCTCTCCTCTGCACAGACTCCATCCTTTGCCTATACATTTGGAACCTCAGTGCCTCCGACCACACTTCGGCGCCGTACAGCATGATGGCGTCTGCCGTTCGCATCAGCAGTCTGCGTTTCGAGGGAGAAGGACCGCCTATGTTAGCCATAAGCCGTGCCAACCTTCCCACAACGACTGCCGCTTTGTCCGCAGCCTTGCATATATGGTTAAAAAAATTAAGCTTTCCATCAAGCATCACTCCTAGGTACCTGATCGCATTCGATGTTTCGATGGTTTGATCGCCCACGAGCATTGGAATGTGTTGGTCAATTCGCTTCCGTGTTAGAAGAACGATCTCCGTCTTTTGTATTGCGAGAGAAAGGGATTTAGCCTGCATCCACTCTATTACTCGCCGCATCATCTGGTTGAGCTTAAACTGTAGATGTTGTACAGTCCTTGCCTTTATTACCGCCACAATGTCGTCTGCATACCCTACCAGAAAAACACCATCTGGCATTTCAATTCGGAGTATTCCATCATAGTTGAGGTTCCAGAGATTCGCACCCAGAACTGACCCTTGGGCCGCCCCTGATGTAACTCTCTTCCTCTTCCGTCCATCTTGAGTGTCGTATTCCAACCATCGATCCTTCAGATAATCTTGTAGGACCCGATAGAGGTACGCTGGCACGTTAAAGCCCCTCAGCGCTTCTAATATGTCCCGCCATCTTGCTGAATTAAAAGCGTTCCGAACATCCAGGGTTACAGCCATACAGATGTCCCTGCTCCAATGGTTACCCGTCTGTGTGGCTTGCGCAGCCTCAACTACTTCAATGATAGCGTCGACCGTAGACCTCCCTGTAGTAAAACCATACTGTCGTGGGGATAAGCCACCGGCCTCCGAAACAGCACTCAGTGTTCGTTGCCTCAGTAACTTTTCATACAATTTCCCTGCAGTGTCAAGCATACACAAGGGTCTGTGAGCTGATGCAGTGTTGGGATCTCCTTTTCCTTTCCCGATAAGAACGAGTTTTGCAACCTTCCATTGCTCAGGAAAGATTCCTTCTACGAGGCATGCATTATACATGTCTAACAGTATTTCCGGGTGAGTATCAACCATAATCTTCAGTATCTCCGCAGGAATCATATCTGGACCAGGGGCTTTCTTGTTGCGCATAGTTTTTGTCGCCTTTACAAGCTCGTCCATGGTAAAAAGAGGTATCTCGCCAGTTACTTCAACATACGGCCGGTCCTCTAGCTCATGAGTAGGAAACAGTTCCTCAACAATCCTATCTTTAACATCAGTTGTCATCTCTGAAGTTGAGTCCATTCCCCTAAGTTTCTTGAGCACAATCTTGTACCCAAGTCCCCAAGGATCATTTTCCACGTCTTCGCATAGTTCTCTCCATTTGGCAGCTTTACTTTTGGTTATTGAAACCTTCAAGGCCCGTCTTGCTATCCTGTACTCGTCCACCCTTTGCTGAAAGTCTAGGGAATCCCTCCTGGTCCTTTGAGCAAGCCTTCTAAGCCGAAAACAGTCTTTTCTGAGGTCAGCAATCTCCTGGTTCCACCAGTAGACGGGGCGGCGATCCCTCATGGCCTTCTTCTTTGGCATGGAGCTCTCACAGGCTTTGGTCAGTAAGCCCATGGTCGCTGTAACCAGTAGCGCAGCACGGCCCCCACCGACAGCTCTTCGTTTTATTTGTTCCAACGTCGCTCTGCTCATTTGGGTCATTGCTTCGAAAATATCCCTATCCAGTCTTTCGACGTTCCAGCGCGGAGGTGGGGCTGCCTCTTGCTTGGGTACGTTTTCTCCAATTCTGAACTGAATGTATTGATGGTCGCTGGCAGAATAATCTTCCAGCACCTCCCACTCGCTAATCTGTGCTGCGAGGTTTTCCGAGGCCATAGTGATGTCAGGTATGGTTCCTCTACATCCAGCCCTCCGAAAAGTCGGTACGTTGCCTTCGTTTATGATTACCAATCCCAGTCGTGATGCCATGTCCATGACCCTTCGTCCCTTGCTGTCTGGTTCTGGTTCACCCCACTCCAGCGCCTTCGCATTTAAGTCACCTGCTACTAGTATATCTCCTCTCATGCCTCTGACTTCGTCCTCGATGCCCTTTAGTTTCTCTTCATATATGGCAATAGTGTCGTTGGGTGAAAGGTAGCAGCTAATGTACGTTACACCCTTGCTCCTAATCCAACTATAGCCCTCGCCTACTCCACTTGCTTCCACCTGGACAGCAGCCCGATTCACCACCCAAATGGCAGCAGTACGGGATGGATTCTCGAACCAGTCCTGCCCAGTGTCTCCGTAAGTATACTGTTCACTAACAAGCATTATATCCCCCTTCTTTTCCTCAACAATCTTCTCCTTTAAACTATTTGCAGTTGCGCTCCTATTTAGGTTAATTTGAAGAACCTTCAGGATCTTCCCTTTGTCCTCCTTTCCAGGGCCCTCCGAAAGGCGATACAACCTTTTCTGCCGGCAGCATGGCCGTCCGCAACGCCTAGTTCAGCACACAAAAGACACTTTGCATCACTTGTACAAGTAGCTCTCTTGTGCCCTGTCCCTCCACATTTAAGACAAGTAGTCGCTCGGTCCGGGCCCTTGCACTCCCTGGCGAAATGACCATAGCCCATACACTTAAAGCATCGGGGCACATCCACCCTTCTTCTGATGCGGCAATTTACCCACCCTATCCTGATCTTTCCTGCCTCAATTAGCTTCTCAGCGTCCCCTCCTGATAGGGAGACAATGGCCAAGATCTGTTTTCTGCCATTCGGAGTAGTCAGATCCACCGCTATGTCTTCTCTGTTTCCTCCCAGCTTATCTTTAATTGCTTCCTTCACGTCCTCCCCGGTTGTAATGGAGTCAATATCACGGATTTCGAGAGATACCCGCGGCTTGAGGTCTTTTACCAGACCTTCTCCCACCGCTTCCTCGACAGCCTTTCTGAAATCGCCTGTTATACCGCAGGATGGTTCCATCTCTAGCATCACATCTCCTCCCATTGTTCTCTTGATCGCTCTGATCTCCGTGTTGGTGTCCGACGGCTTCACAGTCTGCTTCAATTTACGGAGCACCTCGGCATACGGAAGCGCCTCCGATACCTTGATGACCAAGGCCTCCGGTCTCTTCAAGTTCCTCCGTCTTTCCTTATTGGTCGCTTCCTTTTCCTTTCTCCTTTTTTCCTGCTCAATTCGACGTTTCTCTTCTTCCTCCTTCCTTTTCTTCTCCGCTTCCTTTTTCCGTAATTCCGCTTCCGCTTGTTTCCGAATTCTCGTCAGTCTATCTGCCTCTCTCTTTGCCTCATGAGCAGCCTTCCTTTCATTCTCCTTACCTAGGTCCTGCTTGCTTTTTTGGAATCTGGTCCTCTCTGGTAAGCTTGCAGCATCCGAGTCAGTAACTACTTGGCCTGAGCCATCGATTTCAGTTTCCATTAGTTCTTCTTCTTCAGAATCACTGAAATCAGCCAGTTCTTCCTTCCGACGTTTCCTGCTTCCTGTACCTCCCTTTTTAGAGGAGGACCACTTGGGCAGCTTCTCCACTTCCTCTTTCAACTTATTTTGAAGTGAGGTCCTCTTCTTCTCTTGAGTGACCAGGGCATCACAAAGTTCCACCATTGCCGTCAGCCCTGCTTTGACGACTTGGCTGATGTTTGGCTGTTTCTTCGTCGCTGCCAGCATTTCAGCTAAAGTTTTCTTCATGTTTTCCAGGTGTCCCATGTCCTCCTGCCCCATTTCCTCGAGTTCCATTAAGGGGTTTCTCAATGTTGTTGAGCTTCCACTCCCGCCTTCATCTTTCTTCTTTGTGCTTTCATTTTCTTTTTCTGTATTCTTCATCTTTGTTCCCACGAGTAGCTAGGGTCATCATCGGTCACCCACTGGCAGAGCCCCGCATGCCAGGGAAAGGCTAGGGTTGAAACTGGGGGTCGCCCGGTGCCCAGAGTCCGCATACTTAAGACCAAGCGTCCCCTTGGCCACGCATCCCTCGGCGTATGCTGTTCCACCTTGGCTTGGGTTTCCCCCTTCTCTCTTGGCTTGCCGACCTTCCATCCTATCCTCTCTAGGAGAATTCTCAGAGAAGGTTACTCGGCGTAACAGGGTGCACCGCGAGTAGGTGGAGAGATAGGAGTTGGTCAGCAGAGGCTTTATCATGCGATCTAGTTGTCACGATCGCAAAACGCATACTCACCCCTTTGCACCCCAATAATAATAATAATAATAATAATAATAATAATAATAATAATAATAATAATAATAATAATAATAATAATTAATAATAATAATAATAATAATAATAATAATAATAATAATAATAATAATAATAATAATAATAATAATAATAATAATAATAATAATAATAATAATAATAATAATAATAATAATAATAATAATAATATGTTTATTAATTTTTAACCACATAATATAATACAGTATGTTTTTTTCTTAATTAATAAACACAGTAATCCACTGAAATAACTTTTAGTTATTTGTGTGTGGTAAAATTAAAATTAACAGGAAAAAAAAATATTAATCAAAGTTTAAATATGATAAATTACTTATTTCTAACTACATACTATAAATTTATATTGTATAAAAAATGTTTTAAATTACTAAAAGCGCCGATCAGGTAAGTATACTCACATCTTTAACATTCCCCTATTTCAGTAATTTAACATAAATATTATATATATTTTTTATAAGGTACTTTAAAATTAGATTATATATTTACAATAATTTACATTTCTATGTATTTATGTATTTCTGTTCTAGCTGTAGTGTCCATGAAAATTTTTAATCTGTGTTTAAATGAGGATAGTGTTGAAGCCTTTTTCAAAATTTCCGGCAGTGAGTTGAATGTTTTAGGTCCTAAATATTCAAAGTTTCTTTGACCAACTTTTTTATTTTTATATGGTAGTATAAATTGATTTTTTTGTCTGGTTGGGTATGGATGTAATGCTATTTTTAAATCAAATCTGTTGGTATATTGCGTAATAGCTAGTTGTCTGTAATATAATTGATTTATATCATATAGTTTTATGTCAGAAAATAGTTTACAACTCGAATATCTCGGATGTACATTTAATATCAACTTTAAGAATTTTTTTTGTGACACTTCTAGCATATTGCGATATGTTGTTGATAAGCCACCCCAGCCTATGATGCCATAATTTAGATGAGATTCTATTAAACTCTGATACATAATTTTTTTTTGTTTGAAATCAAGGAAAGTGGTAACTTGCTTGAATCTAAAGAGCAAGAATCCCAATTTTTTTAAAAGATAGTAGATATGCTCATCCCATCTTAAGTGAGGATCTATTACAATACCGAGGTATTTAACTTTTTTTGCAGGTTTTATGATATTATCATTAATCTTTAGATCAAACTCTGGAAGAGATGATGCCAAACTACTGAATGGTAAGTATTCTGTTTTATTTATGTTTAGTGATAAAGCTCTGTGATCAAACAATTTTTTAAGTCTTATTAAGTCTGCTTCTACTTGTTCTTTTAACGAAAACCAATCAGAATTTTTGTAGAAAACTACAGTGTCATCTGCAAAACTAATGATTTGGCCTTCTCGTTCGAGAAGAAATATATTATTTAGATATATCGTAAATATTATTGGACCCAAAACTGTGCCTTGAGGTACACCACATTTTATTTTTTGTTCTTTACTAATTTGATTGTTTATTCTAGTATGTTGTCGTCGGTTTGTTAAATAACTTTCAAAATACCTAAGTGCTGTGCCTCTTATACCTAAATCTTCGAGTTTTTCCAATAACAATAACTGCTAAAGATGGTATGCTATTATCCAAACAATTATAAATCTTTTTTGTCAAATTTAGTATGGCATCTTGTGTACTTTTCTTATCGCGAAACCCATATTGAGCAGAGGATAACAAATTAAATTTATCTAGAAACTACTTTCTTAAATATCTTAGCCAATGAACTTATTAACGAAATGGGCCTGAAGTTTTCTGGTTTATAATAAAGATAAGTTATATACCAAAGGAAAGATATTTTTAAAAAGAAATTTTTTCTTCATTACGACTCATCTCAATTACTTGTCCGTTTTCAGTTATATCATCCTAAATGTAACTAATTGCACATAGGCTAATGATTATATTTCTGTCATTTTAGTGCTTAATACAGGCAAATAATAGTAATTATTACTTCTTAGTGTAATATAAAAACAATTATGGTATCCGGGTATATCATATGATACTGTCGAAAATTATATCCGCCAGGTCCCTTACCAAAGGACCTTATTGAAATTTTTATGAAATTTCAGGAAAATCCAGGACAATTCTCCATAAACCTGGTCCCTTTTAAATATAAACTCCAATAAATATCTAATGAACAAAAATAATAAAGTTTTAATCACTTTTACACAACACCCTGTAAATACATCGTTAAATTATCATTTTTATATATTTTTTAATCACCAAAAAGCTTATCAGGACTTTCTCCAAACTTTCCGCAGGAAAATCCTTTATAGAAAAAATAATTTCGTTGACGGAAAATGAAAAATGTCTAGCGTGAATGTCCTGGGAAGGGAAATTGCAGCACGTGCACCACGTGTAACGTATGAGTGATATGACACACACGAGCAGTTTTTTATTTCCTGTAAAACCGAAGTATTGAACACTTTCTGGATATACAGGATGCAGCAATCTTTTGGAAAAGCGCAATATCTTCCTTGTAAGAGATTAACAAAAAACATGAGATGGTTTGAAAATTATTTTAAAGTATATAGGGTGTTACATAACTTAAGTACGAACCAAAGTACCAGTATATGTTTTGGATTTCGGTTACTGTTTATAAATTATAGAAGATAATATTGAAGAAACAATGATAAAAAAGGAAATAAACTAAGGAAAACATAAAAAAAATAATGGCAAACAGAACTAAGATTAAAAACAAATAAAGAATAAGTAAGTATAAAATAAACAAATATATAAGGCGAAGAAGTAAAGATAGAAATATGAATTAAGAAATTGAAAATGATAATTGAAGAAATAAAGAAGAAATCGAGGAAGGAAATAAATGAAATTGAAGTAGGAAGTAAGAAAGAAGATAGAAGAAAACAGCAATAAAAAAAATCGAGAAAGAAGAAATTTCAAAGTATAAGTATTAAAGTTAAATTTAGTGCTAAACAAAATACATATTGCAAATAGAATACAAAAATAAAACAGTCTACAATCACAGAGAAGAAACATAAATGTACTTACAAACATAAAAGTAAAATTAGAATAATAGATACATAGAAAATAGAAACGAAGAAAAATTTAAATAAAAAATAAAAGTGTAATAATGGTAAAACAGATAGAAAGAAATCAAATATGAAAGAAGAATTAAAAAATAGAAAAGAAAACTAATAGGGGAAAATATTTAAGGGGTTTGACAGAAAAGGAGAGAGTTGAGACAAAAGTAAACGAATAACATTAAAATTTAGATATTGGTCGTAAATCTGGAAATAGCTTCAGAACATGTCATTTGAATGGAATTAGAATGAATAGAATAGAGTTAGATAAATATGTAAATAATACTAGTAAAAGTTTAAGATGACAAGTATGAGAAATTTAAGAGAAATTTAAGAGAAATTTAAGAGAAATTTAAGAGAAATTTAAGAGAAATTTAAGAGAAATTTAAGAGAAATTTAAGAGAAATTTAAGAGAAATTTAAGAGAAATTTAAGAGAAATTTATGAGAAATTTAAGAGAAATTTAAGAGAAATTTAAGAGAAATTTAGGAGAAATTTAAGAGAAATTTAAGAGAAATTTAAGAGAAATTTAAGAGAAATTTAAGAGAAATTTAAGAGAAATTTATGAGAAATGTATGAGAAATTTAAGAGAAATTTAAGAGAAATTTAAGAGAAATTTAGGAGAAATTTAAGAGAAATTTAAGAGAAATTTAAGGGAAATTTAAGATAAATTAAATTTTTTTTAACTGTTTGTAAACGTCCCCATGTTTTATTAAATTTTGACTGCACCAGATGATGGAAATATTTCCGAGACATATGTAGTGCTGTGCTAAATTATAGAAAATAAAAATATGACCGAATAAATTAAGTAAATTTTAATTTCTTTTCAGATTCGGCCATGTTTAGTTCAGTTAACTGTGAACAAAATTTATCGCTTATATCGCTTAAAATGTAGTACGTAATTCCAACTTTGTTACAGAATTATAATATTCCCTTTGTTCTTTTCTGAAACCTTGTAATATGAATTTTTCAGCAGGTAAATCGAAGAGCTCTCTACAAAAAAAGCAGCTGTTAAAGTTAATAGAACATTAAGGATTCACTTTAAGTAGAAAGCCGGGAAAGAGACAAAATCGCCGACAAATGTCTACATAAAGATCCATAGTTGGAAAGTAAACAAGCCGAAAACCGTGAGCCAAACTTTAATGAAGTTCGAGGGCACATAGTAGTTGCATCGAATTAGGATGGTGAATTTAAGAGCGGATTTAATGTAAACTTAACTGCTAAGAAAATAAGTCGAAAACTAGTTATTTTTTCGAAAGTAAAATAATTTAGGCGAGAAAGTCTCTAATAGGTGAGTACTAAAAATAAATCTACGCCTCTGTCTACTTAAAATGTTCTGATATTAACGAAATAACGAATATATTCAGTGAAAATCTATTTTTGAACTTTTTGAAAAGAAGATCAAAGATTTGGAAGTGTCATGAAACAAATTAAATTTGTATTAAATCGTTTTCAATTAAGAATTTTGATTTCGT